TAAGGTTCCTAAGCAAGAAGCTGAAAAAAAGGAGGCCAGTAAATGAGCCAGAAGTCAAAATGAGCCAATGGGTTTTTGTGGGGGATGAGGACGGGACAAAGAAGCAGAAATTATTAATTACAAAGAGGACAAGAGAACAAATTTGCTAAGTTAAATGAATGCAAATTTAGAAATAATTTATTTGAAAACAAATATTTTATGTACTTAAAAAACAAAGGCCACGCTTTTGTCAGCAGCAAAGTGCACATTTTTGACAAGAGAGGACCGCTGATTTGAAAGAGGGCTCAAAGAGGCCATCTGTCAAAATTGAAAATCCCTCTCTCAACAGAGGGGGAGGGATACGACATCATCTATCTTCAGTCTACAACACAGTCCTTTCAGCAGTTCCAAGAAGGCTCCACACCCATTTGCATCACTCAGGTGACCCCAATGACACTCCCCAGATGGCCTTAATGACTTGCTGAAAGAATGCAAATGATCAGCTGTCTGCAAGAAGTATAAATCCTTCCATTCTCCACCATCCAGACAGAGCTGAAGAAGCTTCTTGGATGAGAAGCGAAACGTCTTCAAAGAAGAAAAAAAAAGCCAGGAAGTCTAGTTGCATCTTCAAAAAAAAAGCACCTTTGGGGCACACTCCTACTTGATTAAACTTCACACTGCTGTCTATCACTATCACTGTCTCGATCTTTGTCTAGTTCATTAGTCATTAACTGCCTGTTCATCCAGTCTGGTAGTCCCAATGGATCCCAGCTGTTATTCCTCCTCATGACCTTCCGGTAAATCTTTCATCTAGTCTTGGGAAGCTCATGCCCTGTGCAGATATTCCAGCACACACTGCCAGCTACTTGGTTGTGCCATTTGGTACATGCTATTCCTGCCGGCATCCTACACCTTGCCACTATGTTGGACTGTCTCTGAGGCAGTGGTGGGTTTCAAAAATTTTTAGAACCTCTTCTGTAGATGTGGCCTGCTTTGTGGGAGTGTCTTGCTGGCCATGTGACTGGGTGGGAGTGGCTTGCCGGCCATGTGATGGGGAGGGTGTGGCCAACTTGTAAAATGTGGTGAAACTCACTTAACAACGCTCTTGCTTAGCAACCAGAATGTTGGCTCAGAAACTCTGGCATTGAAGTCTGCAAATCGTAAAGCTGTCAAGTTACAAGACCCCAGGGGTGTTCAAACTTGACAGCTTTAAGACTTGTGGACTTCAACTCCCAGAATTCCTCCTCTCGCTTTTCATCTTGATGATGTGTGGACAGGCGGGGTGAGGGAAATGGAACCGGTTCTAAACAGCACTGTAGATTTGTGGAACTTCTTCTATAGAAGAGGTTAGAACTGGCAGGAACCCATTCCTGCTCTGAGGCCTCTCTGCAAAATCTGTACCCCAGGTCCTGTCCAATGTGGCAAACCTCTGCTTCTGTGGCTCTGGTGCTTAGTGCCCATTATTGTGCTGCTATGTTCAGTGCCTCAGTGATGTTTTAGTCCAGCTCCTCCAGCCAGTGATAGGATTTCCCATTGTCAGCCAACCCTCCTATCTGTTGATGGTACATCCCATTCAGGGTCCTGTCCTGCATTTTCTCTGCTTGATTTTTCTCCCATGTTTGCTGCTGCCTCTCAGCAGCTCGTCTTTCAAGGCCAGCTTACTGATGTACTCCAGGAAACTATAAGTTTTGTCCAGGACAAGAGCTTTGGCACTCGCCAAAGGTGCTTTGGGAAAAGACAGCTGGACTTTCTTGCTTTTTCTTCTAAAGCATTTTGCTTCTCATCCAAGAAGCTTCTTCAATTCTTCAGAGAATTGAAGAAAGAAACTAAACAAAATTAAATGAAACAAAAAAAAAAATGAAACGAAACTCAAGACAGTCCAGTTGCTTTTTGGAAAATCATCTTTGGGACAACCAGGACCTCTATGATTCCACAGAATCTCCATAGACATCTATCAACCCACCCCTCTTTCCATCTGCTATATAGTCTCTGGGTGTTGGGCTTGGAAACCTCCATCCATTTTAAGGAGCTTCTAAGTCTTCACACATCAGCACCCTCCAAGTAATAGCATGTATTATATATGTTATTCTATATAACATGCTACACGTCACTCAACATGTAATATACATATTAGCAGGCTTGGGGATCCAATGAAAATAGAAAGCCTGTCAAATGGATATATTTGCATGCAAGGCACTCTTCTGTGGATTTAGTTTGCATTTATATTTTTAACTTTAGCAACTACTGCAGGCCCAATTGGAAAAAGAAAGCTCAGGAACGAATTGATTGGAAACATGCAGAACAGGTCTTCATCCTGAAGTGGATAGACAATGGCTAAAATGATGAAGATGGTGATTTTTTAGCTATATAAACTTTGATCAAAGATTAAATGCTGATTGTTATTCAAGCCTCTGTTTAAGTTGTCTTCTTTTTGGGCTCACTGTGGCTTAAGTGTTCCAGGAATGTAACACTATTTAATAGATTTTTTTTTCCTGGTCACTCTAAACACAAAAGGTTCACAGAATTGTGAAGGAATTTTTAATCAATCAGTACTCTGGGACACGTGCTAATATAACATTTCAGATCATCATTCCACTGAAGCAACTGAAATAGCTGTTATGGCTATTTGCAGACTTACAGACATATATTTAGGACTCCGTGTCCTACAGTCCATTCCCATTAGCCATGAAGACCTGGGGGTTGAAAGGAGTTGAGGGTTCAACACTCAGCTTGCTGACTTTTCTTCTGCAATCAAAATTTAACTTTTGCCAAAGAAAATACTAAGCCTAGGGATGTCTCAGTAAGTGCCTGGCTTCTGTATCTTAACAAAATTTACTGTGTCTCAATGCCACCTTCAGTAATCTGTTGCTCATAAGCAAGTTGACCACACTCAGAGCAAAACTCAGGACAAAAAAAATGGGGTAAGGGATGGGTGAGATGGGTTTATCCAGTTACTAACAAAAATGAAAAATGGGGCAATGGGTTGTATAGTGCATTAAAAGCCCTCTATGTCTGCTGAAGATCTATGATCCTGAATTTGTTTAAGACAGATTATTGCTGTATCTTTGGATCAATCTGATAAAGCGGGCTTTCATCTACAAAGTTTATCCCATAATAGTTTTGTCAATCCTGAAAACACAACCCAAATTTCTGTTGGTTTTCCTATAGGATACTTCAGTAATGCAATTCTCTGCTATTCCCAGTGGCTAGAAACAAAGCAGAAAGTCTCAGGACTCCAAATATGTTACAGTAACATCACACACGTCCGGCAGAATCCAGACTAACATGAACTGCATTTACTAAATATATATTTATATAGTTAGCCTTCTTAAACAACTCTAGGCAGCTCACAACAATGGTTTGTGATTTACTACAGGTAGGTCACAATTGGTCCAATAATGCAATATTTGATTTAATGCACACTGAAAATTGATTCCAGATTGTGACTAATGCAATCCAAAATCCAACTAGTGCAGTAAAATAGCATATGAGCAACTGAGACTAGTGGCTGCAGAGGTGCGACTAGCATTTAAAATGCTGGCAATCTTTGTGCTTGCAAATTGGAGAAAAGGAAGATTTAATCAGAGGAAAACAGTACAGACTTAAAAAAATAAGAGATGTAATAGAATTACATGAACCTGGTCCTAACAGTGCTAAAACAGAATGGGAAATTGGAATATTTTAATGTATGGATTTTTTTTTTTACATTTTGCTTTTTATAACTGCTTTATGATTTTTATTAATTATACATTTACATTCTGAGATGGTATTTTTGTCCTTTGGTGTAAAAATATATTAAGCTACATATAAAAATGTACGTTTAAATTATTTTCATTCCTTATTTATTGAATTGGAAACAATTCTCTATAGAAAAATCACTTTGAATACAGCTAGGCAAATGCAAATGATATGACTATTTTGTAGGATTCATTAAATGCTATTCTGTACATGCTTTTCCAGTCTGACTAAAATAGCACAGAGTCAGGTGGTGGGAAAAAGCGGTTGCTGGCTAAGGCAGAGAGAGACCATCAAAATCTTCCAAATGTTGACTTACCCCTCCTGCACCACCATTGGAGAAATATCCCGTGGCATGCAAGCCTGCCTATATCTCTCAGAGGATCTGATTGTGAATGTCGCTAATGAACCATGAAAAGCTATTAACCATGCCCTGGCTAATTTAACTTTTAGCTAAACAGTGAACGCAAAGCAGGGCTAGCACTTCCTTGAACTTCTTTCAGAAGTAGAATCAGACAGATGGAAAACCAAAGCAGCATTTTAGTTTGCAGGGAAGGTGGGGGAATCCATCCACTCCCGTTTTTATTGGCGCCCATTTCTCCATGGGACAAGAGGGAGAAGTACATAGGCTAATCCGAAGTGCTGGGAGACAGGAAGAGAAGGATGAATCTCATCTTTAGGCTTAGTAATCAAACCGCTGCTGAACCTTTCAAGTTTATATATTCCATCTCCCACCCAGTCTTCTCTTCTGCAAAGAAAAATCGGTGGTTGAAGGAATATCCATTACCGAGTTCTAAAGCCATAAGAAATAAAACACTGGAAGTCTTTAAGAAGATGTTGGATAGCCATTTGTCTGGAACGGTATAGGATTTCCTGTTTGGGCAGGGGGTTGGACTAGAAGACCTCCAAAGTCCCTTCCAACTCCGCTATTGTATGGTATTGTATTAAAAAAAGAATCCGCCACACTCCCCCCCTCCCGAAAAAATAATCTCCCGTGTCTTTGGCAGCTCGAAAAGTAGAAATCTCGTAGTTTGCGATTAGTTTGTAGTTTTAAAAAGCTTTCACCATTTCTGTTCCCCTTGAAAGCTAAACAAGGGAGAGAGTCGTACTTAAAATGCAAAAGGCGATATGAAAGGCACCCCGGATCGCACGCATTCTACAGAATGTGAATGTGCAATGGATCCTCTTCCCCGCTTTTAAAAAGCATCCCTCCCCGATCCCCCCCCCCGAAGAATTCTCAAGTTACTTGTTTTGCCATTTATACTACTGCAGCCAAATCTGTTTACCTGAACTTTTCTTGTTCTCTGTTTTTTCTTTTGCCGTCCTTCTAAGAACGACCGGCATGCAGCCCAGAAGGAACACTGAGAAACTTTTCCTTCTCTTTTCTTCCTTATGTTTCCGATCTAGACAAAGCCTCTCCTCCAGCAGGTGCAAAGGCGGAGCCTGGCCGCACTGCCAGCTGGGAACTGTAGTCCAATTTCCCTCCAACTTTTTCGCTGCTATTTTCTCATTACTTTTTTTTCTTACATCTCTTCTATGGCTTGTCTGAATCAGGACAAATACATGTAGCACTGCAAAGTTCCCGAGGTTTTGTAGCTCTTATTTTGTTGTATTTTTTATTTTAATAATTTCTGCTGTGCCTTTTTCCATTTCCACATCCTTTAAATTTAAGGAATATTTGGTGAGATCTTGAGATCATTGTAAGCCATTATATATTTTGAGTTCATATGAATTGGATATCCTCTTTATCATTTTATTACTATTGTTACACTCAAACTTGAAATTTGCTTTCAATATTTCGAATATTATCCAATCTATATACTGTATATGAGCCATGGTAGTGTAGTGGTTTAGAGTACAGCACTGCAGGCTACTTCTGCTGACTGCCATCTGCCTGCAATTTGACAGTTCAAATTTCACCAGGCTCAAGGTTGAATCAGCCTTCCAAGTCGGGGAAAATGAGGACCCAAATTACTGGGGGCAATATACTGACTTGGTAAACCAGTATATCTATCTAACTACTATTGCTATATACTGTATGTATTGTTAAATAGTCTATCTTTAACCTTACATAGGATTATTCTGAAATATTCTTCCATGTCTCTTTATTTAGACAAGATTTCTAACATTCTGAACTAATATTGCCATTCAGAGCTATGTTTTAACAAAAGAATTTTTTTTCTGTTTAAGAGTACATCCAGTGGTATACTAGATTTCTTGAAGATTAGTGAATTCTTAAAACATCTTTCAAGTGTTTGTCGTAATAGTCAATGGTTTCAGGTGGATTGAGAAGATACACTTCTGGAAATCTTTGATTCTTGAAGAGCATTGAGAAGCTACAGCTGATGCCGACTGCCATGGAATGACCAGATTTGGGACCCCTCGCATGTGGTCCATGTAAACCCCCTGCTCCATGAACTGCCCTAACTATCAGTTTATTTCTGGGTGCAATGCAAGGTGCTGGTAATCATCTTTAAAGCCCTTCATGGGTCAAAGCTATTTGAAAGATTGTCTCATACCACTGGGATTGGCCAGCCCCAGCTGTGCCAACAGAGGAGGCATGCCATGGGCTCCGTCGGACAGGGTATTCAGGCTAGTGAGGTCCAGGAGAAGACCCTTGTCTGCAGTTGCAGCTGCTCTTTGGAACATCTTACACCCTCCCCAAGTGAAGATGGCTCCAACCCCCTCCCCTTACCTTCCATAAGAGCTTAAAAATCTGGCTCAGCCAGTTGACCTGGAGCTCCAATGGAGGGGTTTTCATTGAGGTTGGAGTGGTTGATAGATTAGCAACAGTTGCACAACCTCCCCTTCTCATCACATTCCCTTTCTCCCCATCATTTTAGCTAGGCTGAGTTTTATAGCATTATATTTATATCATTAGATTTTGTAGTTTTATCTTTTAATATTGTAAGCCGCCCAGAGTTACCATGTGGTAAGATGGGCAGCTAATACATTTTACAAATACATAAATAAAAGTCTACTGCAAATGTCCAGGCAAGCAGACACAGCCTGCCTTTCCAAGTCAATCATATGTTTGAAAGCTGCATTAATTTATATATGGAGGCGTATGACTTTGATATAATATGTATCTAGTTAATATAGTTTGTTCAGCACATGATGATTACAAACGAACTATGGTCTAACATTTAAAGAAACTCATTTTGTCATAAGATTTATCAATCTTACAAACTAATCCTGAAGGACTTTGGACAAAATGCAGACACAGTAACAAAGTGTGATATAAACAATACAATAATGATACAAAGTAATCATAGAACCGGATCATTCTAGCCTTGGTTGCTGCATATAGTAACCTAAAAGAAAAATCTTTTAAGAGAGCCAGGTTTCACTATCCTTTGGAAGGTCTTAAAAATACGGCTACTTTTGTTTCTAGATAGGAAACTGTTTCACAGCAAGGGAGCCTCCTACAGGTATTCTCTGGTCACTCAAGCAGATAATATACCAAGCTCTTTCCACTTATGACTATAACCATGTTGCTTGTATCTTTAAAATTTATATTGTTTTGTTTCTTTGTATAATTTGATTGCTTATTAGTCACCCATGATACACTGCGTTGTATCTTATGATTCTTGAGGAATGTATTTTATTTTATTTTTCTTTACGTACTTTATGTATGAAAGTATATGCACCAAAGACAAGTTCCTTCTGTGTCCAATCACACTTGGCCAATAAAGAATTCTGTTCTGTTCTGTTCTATGTTATATAGGGCTTTATGGGTATTGACAAGCATCAAGTATTCCATCAGAAAACACCAGCAGCCAGAACATTTCTCATACCAATGATCTAATATTTATTTATTTATTATTGCTTTTAAAATAACAAAAAATTTAATGTTATAATTATAATGGAAATACATAAGATTTTTTTTAAAAAAACAAACTACATAAAAAGCACTTTAGAAGTGAAAAAGAAAAATTCCAACAGAAAAAACATAGCATATCATTGCAGTGTAAGAGTTACAATTCTATAGTGACTTATCTAATGTAAATACTCAAGCACACATATATTGATTTCCAATACATTTATATAACTCATTTATCTTTAACCTACTCCATTTGTAAAACTGAGTTCCATCTTTCGTTACACTTGGCTATACAAGGTTCTACATCTACAGACAAACTACTCATAGATGGCAAATGTAACCAGGTCTTCAGTCCATTGAATACATGGAGTCATTACATTTATCTTTCCAATGTTGCAATATCAGTGTTTTGGTCACAGGAAGGGCACAAATAATAAATCTATATTCTGATGTCCATATTGTAGGCATCTAAATTAAAAAAAATAATCTCTGAAAATTTAAGAAGGGTAATATAACATGACAATGGTAAGACAGTCAATCTAACACAAGCTGTTGCAGATGAAGTTTTAATGCTATTAAGTGCAGCTGAAATTTGCAAGAATTACAACAATCTTATTGCAAGATGACAAAGGAGAATAATGTGGGCACACAAGTCAGTGACAATGCTGAACACAATTATTGTGGACAAAGAGCCTTAAGTTGACTTCCAGCGCATTTCAATTTATTTTTTGTAATAAATATCTTAGCCCTGGACATCGTAAAGGGAGATCTAAATTAGATTCCACCTATTACAAAGTTTGGGACTTAGCAGGTACTCAGATCTGCTTGTTTTTCTTTTTAAACTCTCTATTTTGGTTTTGAATCAGTAATCAATTTTGTTTTATTCTGTTTTTAATTTGGTGTTTAAGTTTGCTAAGTAGTTCACACAAAAGTATAACTGCTTCTGTGAAAATATATATTACTCTCTTTTCCTTTTTTTCTTTTTCTTTTTGCAACATATTGACCCTGAATATTTTATAATTTTAAGTGACTTTGTATGGTTCCACCACAAAACTGCGGAGGACAAAATCGCGCTCGACGAAAGCGCGCATTTGACGTCATCACAGCGCGATGAAAACATCGCGCTGTGATCGAAAAATGTAAAAATAAAGCGAAAACCTTACCCTAACCCCCCCAAACCTAACCGTAAACCTAACCCTAAACCTAACCCTTAACCTAACCCTAAATCTAACCCTAAACATAACCCTTAACCTAACGCTAAACCTAACGCTAACCTTTAACCTAACGCTAAACCTAACCCTTACCTTTATGTGAATCGGCTTGCTTTAATTTTAATTTTATTTCAATTTTTAATTTTTTTCGTCGCACTGTGATGATGTCAAATGCGCACTTTTGTCGAGCGCGATTTTGTCCTCCGCGGTTTTGACGGGTCACGACTTTGTATTGGCTATTAACTTTGAAAGATAGTGCACACGTGCAAGTAGTTAAAATAAAAAAGATGGACAAGTGGTTGGCCATAATATTTGGTTTTCTGTTTGGTGGTTTGAATGTAGCAGTGGATAAGGTTCATATAGGCAGGGTCTGGAAGACAAAATAGCACAACTCATCCCAAACTGAAAGGGGGGACCCCAAAATAAATATTAAATCTAGAACTAGAATGCTTAAAGAATGGCTTGACTCTATCATCCTGCCAAGTTTTTGCAGTAAGTTCTGGAGAGCCAGTGTGGTTTCTTGGAACTCTTAGAAAAGGGATAAAAACATTTAATTTTATAAATAACTACAAAGAATTAAATCAGAATCAAACTGGCCAATGGCATAATTGAAGCACAACCTCTTTTTTTTTTTTTTTGCACGAGTTCTGTGTTAGGAATTATTTATTTATTTATATCACACCTTTTTTTAAACAAATAACTCAAGGTGGTGAAGAAAAAGTGAACAGGAATATCTGTGGGCTGAAATCAAAAATTTTCAGGTGACAAGAGTCATAATGCAAACAAATCTCTCTCCTTATGCGCATCACATATATAAAATGGAAAGAGCTTCAATTTCACCATTCCAGTTACCAGTTTAACCTTTTTGAATTATAACCTAACACTAACTCTACTTACGATATAGATGTAAGTAGGTAGCTTACTGAAAAAGCCTCCAGACCATTTCAGATACATTACGGGTAACTAAAGCTGGCAGAAATGTGGAGAACACTTTCCATTTCCCTAAATATGCAATTCATATCGCAGCATGGCCATTCAAAATTGAAGGCTCAGACAGATGGAAGAGAGAGAGAAAGATCCAATAATAGTCCTTCTGCTTCCATTCTTTTGACCTCTAACTGGAGGTTAAATTGAACGACTAAAGAATATCAGTTTCAAGTGATTCAAAGAGCGGCTGGTCAGGTATCTACTTAGTGAAATCACAAACATCTGACTGACTCAGATGGTGACCTAGAATTATATTCAGAAGCTATTCCTTTACAGCAGGGCTGTCAAACTCTCAGCCGGATGCATCACATGCTGGCCAGCCGGATGCATCACACGCTGGCCACGCCCA